CCATTCAAAGTGCCCTAAGTTTCCGTCACTACAGTAACCGCCTGCTGCAGAGCTCATTTCGACGAAAAATCCCTACAAGGATAGGAAAATGTCAGAGAATCGGCTTATTTATTTTGCCGTTAATTGATGCCATATTCTCAATAGGACATGTAAGGAGAGCGTTGAGTGCAGATACTTTAGATGCAGTCGTCTACCGCTTCCGCATCAAAAATGAAGAGTGTATGTCGTTTGACGCGATAGGCGGGGTCGCGCCCCCCATTTGAGGCGGTTCGGGGGGTGAACAACTCACATCGGGCCACCCTCAGTCTGTTCTCTCCAGCTGATAGAAGCGCGACCAATGGCGTCGCTATATTAGACGCCGACGCGGTTCTGCTTGTATTCTGCCTACATACATGATCCATTTGTCGTTTTCGGACAGTATCCATGGAGAAAGGGGACAAGAAGCAATAAAAAATCACGCAAAAGCGCCAAATGGATGATGTATGTATGTGGGCAGAATACAAGCAGATCCTCAATTCGGCGTCTAATAGTAGCGAAGCCATTGGTCGCGCTTCTATCAGCTGGAGAGGATAGACCGAGGGTTGCCCGATGTGAACGAGACCGCCGCGAACCGCCTCAAATGGGCGGCGCGACCCCGCCCATCGCGCCAAACGACCGCCTCCCAAAATGAACGAAGGAGACTTAAGAAGACCAATCAATTCTTTCCACATCGTACTGAGAGAAGTCGATACGTAAGCAAATTCAAATTCAATCAAATTCTCAAATTCAAGCAAATTCTGAAATTCAAATTCAATTCAAATTCTCAAATTCAAGCAAATTCTGAACACTTTATCCTCACAGACCATTGACCTCTACAACATCCAAAGCNCCAAAATGAACGAAGGAGACTTAAGAAGACCAATCAATTCTTTCCACATCGTACTGAGAGAAGTCGATACGTAAGCAAATACAAATTCAATTCAAATTCTCAAATTCAAGCAAATTCTGGAATTCAAATTCAATTCAGATTCTCAAATTCAAGCAAATTCTGAACACTTTATCCTCACAGACCATTGACCTCTACAACATCCAAAGCGTGCACCTCGTGTGCATGCGTCTACTTTGGGACTAAAGTGCATGGCACAATCTGAAAAGCAACACTTCGATAATCGAGGGTATCTGCTTATGAAGCTCGGCAAGCTGAGCTCAACGGTATTTTGGGCTTTTGGACTACTCTAATAACCGACTTATGGAGAAAACACGGAAAAGAAGCGAGATCGCGGGGTATGAATTTTCGAGTTCTTACTGCGAGTACTATAACATACTATTTTGATTATGAGGTTCAACTTGTGGGAGACAAGATACTTTGTATTCAGAGTACGTATGTTGTGAAATAACCCATACATTTTCAAAATGCTCCAGATGTATTCGAGTCGTCAGAGATGTTCCCTTCAAGGTCCATGAATGCACTGAAGTTTATGTATCGAAAATGTATGGACAAGAAGGAACTGAGTAGGATCGGTCCTACGCGATTGTTGCAGACCATAAGAGTGTGTTTTGCTTTGTTGCCGAACTATTATAATTGGTGCCAATTCTGATCTTTGTCTGTAGAGTTACGGAGTATGGCCGATGATCGAAGGCCATGACAAGTTTCGAGCAGAAGACTTTGACCTGACGTCGCTGATGATTCATGTTAAAGAAGTCAGAGGACTGGACGTCTTTGTGTCTAACTATGTCACGCCTGAACGCAAAAATGTCTCGAGGAGACTCCTTCACGTGAGTACAACCACTCATTTGACCTAGAAGAAAAAGAGCCATCGTACTAGAAAGTATCTATTATTTTCCTTCACATTCAACTCGATCAAATGACCCTGCAGGAATAGTAGGTTCGGATAGGCTGGAAAGAAACATGTTGCTGGATTCCACGCGGGACACTAGCATCACTTGACACTAGCCTCAACCGCCCTCTAAATTGCATAGGCAAATTGCATACGGTCTCTTTCGATAGAAGATCGTTTAAAGAAACCGTTGCTCTTCACAAGCTTCATCACATAGCTTTTCTGCATAATTGCAGTTCGATCAAGCTGATCTTGGACTAGGAGCGTCGACACGTGATTACTACTTGGATCGAGTCAAGCATGGCAAAAAAATCGAAGCATACAGGCAGTTCCTTATAGACCAAGTGACTTTGACACCTATTGCTCACTATTCTTGTTCCTTTATACATTTGTGCCAAAGAATTGACACATTCCAGGTAAAATTAATCAATGAATACGATAATCGCCCTAGCAACGATGAGAAAATCGCGAAAGATGTGGGCGAGATCATCGACTTTGAGACCAGAATTGCAAAAATTATGGTAGCAGAGGAAGATCGGCAGGACAGCTTCAAAATGTACAATCTTCGGCACCTCAGCGATATGCAGAAGCTCATGCCTGTGGTGAGTTTGGTAGGACCTTCATCCGTTAGTCTTCATCTTGTCAGTGAGAGGGTAGGTTTTTCATGAGTTCAAAAAAGGAAGTTTTCAGGTTGATTGGACCAGATACTTTTATTCCATTGCACCTTACTCTGTTCACAAATATTTTGCAAACGATCCGAATATCGTGATCGCAGAGATCGATTTTATGAGAAGGTCAGTGATGGCCCTACTTTAGTGAAAAGTGTTGGATAATCACTCTATTGACATGATATTTTGTTAACTGCTGTTTTAACGCCGCAGTGCGCGAAGCGAAAGTCTCACAAGGTTGGCGATTTGTGGGCAAAATTCCAGTCTTNGACGAGACTCAAACCCGTACTTTTTTCTTTACGGGAACCGTCAAAAAAGGAATCTTATCCCTTACACTACCGAGACCCCGCTAGCCCTCGCCTTCTTAATGGCTTATATGCCATAGCTTATCAGCACTCACACGTACAACGTGTTGAGCCGGTCGGCCAATATCAGCACGGTAAGGCTAAGAGCACGGTCCCCGAAAAGGACAAGTACGGGTTCGAGTCCCGTCCGAGACTGGATTTTGCCCACAAATCGCCAACCTTGTGAGTCAATCACTCTATTGATTTCTTCTAGAATCACCGAATTGCTGCAGCTAACGGACCCTCGAATTATCACTAATTACATATTTATTCGCTTCACTTTTTCATGGAGCGGAGTACTTGGAGAGCGATTTGATGATGTCTCCCAGGTTGGCAATGATCCTTACACAACGCATTTCAAACCATTTAACTTAAACTTCCGAGAAAGTCTAGTCAATAGTGAGTTATTCCAAATCAAAGGAACTGGAGTAAAGGCTGATCGCAGTTTTGTAGCAACTAGGAAGTTTTGTCAGGATCCTATAGCATGCATAGCAAGCAAGTCAAATTTGTGTTGACCAAATGTCATTTCCACTTAGTAAGACCCGTTTGAAGTGCGCATGTAGCAGCTACCGCATAATTTGCGTGGGGCTCTGTTATCCTCTGGGGTAAACAACTGTGACGCAAAAATAGTAAACCGTTTCTTCAAAAAGGAAGACAGTACGTCGTGATTATGTCAATCTACACGTATTCAAAAAAAGAAAAAACTGGACTGAAATAAACGCCAGGTGGGGAAAGGATGATTGAACATTTTAATCTGGCAGAATCTTTTCGTTTTGGTACCGAGCTACATTATTTAATCAGTGTCGTGCCGTTCGGGCGACTTATAGGCTGGCTGGTTTGGCGCGCACCTCGGTCCCGCGGGGAAGGTGCAACACGCTGCAGAGAGCGAGAGTCTGCCAAGTGGCTGTGCTTAGCCACGTACTCTGGCTGCTTTTTCTATCACACGGCGATTGCATCAATCAGTCTAGTCGCCGTCGTCGCTGCAGCAGCGTGCTCGTCTCAGTCTCCTGGTGCGCTCTCAACGTCAACGATGCAGCTCCGAATGTTCCCACAGCGCCACCATATTGTCATGTACCAGTACTGCCAAGTCTACCTCAGGCAAGGAACGTCCAAAGGCATAGCCGTGGGAAAACCAATGAGCAGCAGTAGTAGAAGGAGGCTGTGTGGATTTGAATGGCGCGGATCAGGGCCTAGCACGATCGTACCCTGTCCGTAGGTTTAGTGTGGTTTTCATGTATATGTGTATTTTTCCATATTTTCTTTTCATAGTATTTCTCATATCTTAGTCAACACAATCAGTCGCATTTGACCAACATTTAATTTCTTTTCACGTAGTTTTTTTTATAAAACAGTATAATCCATAATAAGTGGTTGGTATGTAAAGTATGGTCACATCCAAGTATCGCAGGGCTCCTGGGATGGCCCATCGCAGGCTTTGGTAGAACCACGCCAAGCGTGTGGCAGAAGGATACGGGCATAGCGAGCGGGCAGAAGCAGAAAACCCGGTCACCTAGCCCACGCCGCTGGGGTGGCCCTTCCGAGGGTCTGATATCTTCTGTCTGAACGGCGTGTCGTGTTCGCCGCTCGCGGCCGCGCTTTGAGAAGGGAAAGATTCGAATCCCCAGTGGAAGGATACGGATAGTCGCCGCGGAACTACTACCGCAGGCCGTGAAAATTCGGGGAGAAGTTCCGTTACCCCCCTCCCGAGCAACCACCGTTGCGGATTAATCTCGGTGGTACGACCCCGACAATCGAGAATCAGTATTCATCACATGACCACCACATGATAATAGAAACATGGAGCATGTCATCGCAGGCTTTTCTAGTTATGTGCCTCCTTTTCTTCAATCGAGTCCCATAAAACCGACTTCGATTACCGTACTGGGAGTTGGTTGAATTGCTAGTTGCCTCTGGTTCACTAGTTCCCATTCGTTGTTGCTCCTTTCAGCGCATTTTGCATGTTCTACTTCTTCCTGACAGCAGCAACATCTTTTATTAGACTCCTAGCGGATGCATATTGAACTTACCTGCAGATTTGGACTATTTTTTGAGTTCAGGAACTTCACTGTTTAATGTATGGGAAAAAACAGAAAGCTCCCACGTGGGAGGAATGCACGTCTTCCACAATGCACAGAATGCAATATGCTACTGGAGCCATCTACGTTAGAAAAGTATTCGACAAAGTGAGTCCGTGCACAATCTTAGCATTCACTGAGCTGAGCTGCGTCCTAACTCCAATACAATTACAGGTTCCGAAAAATGAAACGCTAGACATGGTGAATGATTTGATTGAAGCATTCAATGAAATGCTTGTCGAGAATGATTGGATGGACAAATCCACGAAAAAGGTCAATAATGAACCTTGACTGCGAGGTATAGAAATCCCCTGAATCTCCCAAGGTATTATTTTTCAGACCGTGAAAGGGATGCTGAGAAATATTGCTTATCCGGGTTTTATTCTTGACAGCAAGAAACTGGACAACTATTACAAAGGCGTGAGTGAAGATATTCTGAGGGCATCGCCAAAAGTAAAGCCGGATAAACGATTCCCATGTTGATGAAAAATGGGATGTATTAATCAACTGTTCGAGTAATCAGTATCTAAAAGTCCCAGGCAATAATGTCGACAATGTTCATATCACTTCAGGTGGAGTGGTACTGTGTGTGCTTCCGATTCCTATTCTAACCGGTTTATCAGAGAAGTCTGCGTCCTTTTGGGCTGGACAATTATCAAATTTTAAGAGATGCATGGCTAATGATAATGGAGTACTCTTCGACCTACACATTGCTAAATCAAGGCGCACTCCACTATAATTTTGGAGTTTTTTAAAGTTTAAAAGCATAGGTACTAGCGGAGAATAGTGCATCGGTGGCGAAGAAAACGGAAAGCTCGCAGGTTTATTGAAATCTAAGGACTCTTTAACACTGTGGAAGAAGGAAGTTGTACGATATTACTGTAACAGTGCATTGCGTAAGGAGCTGCCTAAGCCAAAAATGCTGAGAGGTGCACTCTTTTGTCACTATTGCTCTCGACTGTTTGTTTTCTACGCTGCAAATAGTTCGCTTTTGGGTATGGACGTCGAAGAAGCCAGCCTATGAGCCTTCATTGCCCCCCACGCCCTATCTCTGCCGTCCAGTGAATCGTGCCTTGAAGAAAGCAAGCACTGACTGCCACAAAAAACAGAAAATAAGGCAAAATAAAGGCCATTAAATAAAAGCACTTAAGCCGATCATTTCTTCATCATAGCTTTGTCACCTCATTATGAACAGGTTTTGATATTTTGCTTCTAGTTTTCTGTGGACGAAACCGACTCGTACAGTCAGATGATAGAGAAGCTATCACGGTGGTACATCGAATTTGACTTCAAACGTCTAACCAAGCTCGTTGACCGAACTGAATATGTCTTCAATCCTGCGGTCGTCGATGCCTACTACTCGCGCTATTCCAACTCAATAAGTATGTGTTTATGGCCTATGAAAGAGCTTGCCCCCAAATACATAGAACATTCACCTCGGTTACTACAGTCTTTCCAATAGTGGATCCCTCTATTTCCTTTTTTTTCTTAAGTAATTGCTTACCGACTCATATTGTTTACCACTACTCTTTAAATCAAAAAGAGGTTATCTCTCATGAAAGTCAGTTTCACCATATTCTACCCTACACCTCACGCCTTAACTGTGAACACAACCCTCTATTTTATCCATATGTGTTCAGGTAGGGTAGAGTATTTGCAAGTGACGCCTCATAGTTGCTGCCCAAGCCAGGCCTGGTCGCGCTTCCCATCCTGACAGCTAAGCAGTTCATGTGGGCCATTCATCCTTCACACCCCCACTTGGGTGAAGGATACCAACTCGTCTATGAGAATCAAAAAACTATCAATTTGAACTTCCTCCCAAAGCTGTTGCATGTGCTGAAAATATAATAGCATCTCTTATGCAATATATTCGCTACTGAAAAAAGTGAGCACCCGTTTCGGAAAAGTGATACAACTTTCGAAAGGCTTTTTTTGATAATGAGGCGACCTTGCCTACCGACCTAACTTTAGCTCACGAAAGGTCTTTCCCCAAGGGGAATGCACCAGAAAATATTCACGCTCGAACCGAACCCAGCCAATGATGTGCACTTCCCGAGCCAGAAGTGCCCACTCTCCGCTGTCCAGTTCCGGAATACTCTTGATGCAATGAGCGATAATTAATAACATGATTCATCTGGGGACTAGTTGATTTACTACCATGGAATTTCAGGTCGGCAGTATGATGCAATTGGCAACCTTCGCGACTGGTGGGACGCAGGTGTTAAGAAGAAGTTTGTAGAGCGAGCCCAATGTATCATCGACCAATACGGAAAGATCGAAGTTTGCTCTGAGCGATGTAGTTTTGCCATATTCGCTTTTTGGATGCGAAATGCTTCCAGGTGCCAGGTACTGGCCTGAAAGTGAATGGCAAGCTCACTCAAGGGGAGAATATCGCTGACAATGGAGGAGTGAAGCAAGCGTTGAGAGTTAGTTCCCAATCCGAATTCAGGAGAGCAGTAAGAGCCGATAGTGAGATAATAAGAAACGATTAACTGGGTCTGGAATTTCGCTACGCAAGAAAAGTAAGCAACAGCATACTAGATCGTGGCAGTGTCACAACTCTAGGCTCATTGCGAAAACTAGGGGCTGCGTCTACATGCTATTCGTCTAAAACAACTTTCGTGGTTGTGGAAATACAGGCAATTAGTATAACAATCATCTTCTTTTTCAGCGGTTGTCCAACTTGCAAGCCGAGGCGGCTCTCCTTGTATTTTGACGCCACTTTTCCGTTTAAACACTTGGCCAAGATAAAAGCCAACCAAATGGAAGTCCTCATGCACTTTATCAAGAAAATGTTGCTTTGGAGATCGTTTTTCTTGCTTTCCTGAGCTATGGATGCCCTTACAAACACCGTTCCTGCATAGTGCATACCCGTACCACTGAAGGCAAGCGTCGGATTTATGAAATTATCTGCAACTAGTCAGGCGGTATCCAGTATGTGCCGATGCATATGCCCATAATTAGAAGTTTGAATCTGCTGCAGTTCATCTTTAGAACTATAACCCATTAAAGGTTCGACTGGGCCGAATTGAATATTACCGCTCACGCTATGCCCCTTGTGGGCGGAGTCTAGTCCTTTCACCTACCACCAGTGTTTCCATCTTGCCTTCTGTACTCTTACCAAATTTGAACTCTCTAGGTCCACAGGAACTGGAGTTATGAATTCCCGCTCAAACACACACACACAGACAGACAGACAGACAGACAGACAGACAGATAGAGAAACCAACAGTTACACTCAGCGCGGTATATATAGTAGGATAAGAGCCTTTCGGGAACATTTCCTCAATTCCCAAATGGTCCATATGCGCAGCCCTGTCATCCAACGCAGCATTTCATCATGAGCTTAGGGCGTCCTCCATTTTTTCTTCACGGGCCAGCGCTAATTAACAGTAAGGTACTAATTATACGACGATCCCGTGATCAGACCAGTCCAGACTGGCGATCTGTTACTTATGATAATTCAGACTAGGTCTGCATGGAACATTAGTAACGTCATTCTTTGTAATTCCTCACTCATTCCACTCCATGATCATGTTTTCGGTCTTTTTAATATCCAACCGAGATTTGAATAGGCAGACGATCAGACTATACATACATCTATTCGTCAAGTACATTTCTGCCTTCGCACACGAGCTTTACCGCTGGAAAAAGCAGAGCCACGATCCACCCCATAGGAAAAAGAAGTTTTGAAGAATCATTGGTGACTGTTTCTTGCGATTCGTTTCTTCAAATTGAGTATGCGTACCCACTCGGAAAGTTCATCAAGATCCTCGTGCAGAAAATACCATATAACTTTCAATCGATAACCCTCTTCAAAAGACACTACCAGAAAAGTGATATGCACTACTTTCCAACCCTCACGGCGTTTTTCTGACAAGAGATGAGCGCCATCAATTGCATCGGTGCTGCGGCAACCGATGAAAATACCATATTGTTCGGTGGGAGCTGGACGAGTTCTCCAGTACTATCGTTCTCAATTCTTTCAAAATTCTCCATACTATGCGAGAACAAACGGTGTGTGCGCTAGCTAGAGCAGTTTGCGGAGCTGTCCCTTTTTAATATAGAGACGGTAATTTTCTCTTGCCAACGTTTGGGCACCTTCTTTTTTGCGACCCATATGAAGGACTGCATCAACATACTTCCCATTGCCTGCCGAGTCACTAGATTCACTTGTGACCTATGTGGCTTATACAATGATCTGCGGCGGCAAACTCTTCGTGGCACTCGGATGTTTCTCCTCCCGGGAACCTGAAAATTCTTCTGATCTCAACCACATGATCACACTCACTATGACATTCTAGACCATATCAGTTATAAAGTATATATTAATATTGAGCCGCAACGATGAGTGAGGGAATGGATTTCCCGTAAGGCAAGTGATAGATATTTTCTGTTAATTTCCCACACGTTTCCATAGATCTACAACTATTCAGGCCTACAGAAAATATCTTAAGAGGTACGGAGAAGAGAAGCGCATTGAAGGCTTAGAACAATACAACAACGAACAGATGTTTTTTGTTGGATATGCAACGGTAATGGCATGAAGATAATTAGGTCTTCATTGTTGTCTATAGACACACGTTTTATAGATATGTTGTGGTCATTCGACCAAAGATGCACTTATAAACAGCATTCTCACTGATACTCATTCGCCAACCCAGTATCGGTATGTTTGATACTTCTATGATGAAGGGGTCTACCATAATGATTTATTCGAACTATTGATCCATTATATGGCCCGATTGTTTATGAACCATTTGTAAGCTTTGAACATATTTGACATGCGCAGTGGACTTCTACTTATCATTTCATTAAACCGCTGTTTTTATTTCTATAGTCCATTCTGAATTAGTTTGGGGTCAGGTCTTTATTACAGGCGAGCGGTATTCACGAGGATGAGGAGCCCTCGATATTAGCTTGATAGATTTTTAAGGTTCTTTTGCATCAACAATCGAACATAAAGGTACTTTGTTCGATACTTTGTCGAGTCGAGTGCGGAGGCACATCACTCGGACTGGAATTGATTAACGCCAAAAACTTTATTCTTTGTCCTTATCAAGGCTCACCTCGCTCACTCACACTCCTTCTCACAGCTCCTTTGAGAAAAAATCAAATTAGGGGGGTTGCTTTTTGAGGAAAACTTTTCAAGATTTTTGAAAAATTTTAAGCCTGCGGGCAAATGCACTGTTTCATTTTAAAGGATTCTTTGTGACGTTTCACTTTTCAATGAGTTCAGCTTTGATCCTGAAACTTCACTCTGGACTTGAGAAACCACTGCTGACACCGACTGCTGAATACATTTCCTCACTACTATTGTTCTTTTTCTCAGTACTGTACTAATGTAATTACAAGGGTTATGGGATCTATCAAGTGTTTTCTTAGCTTTTTTTCTGCTTTATTTTTTGTTTATTTATTTATAAACTCAATTGAATGCGCCAATAGAAGGAAACGAGATCAGGTATACAACTACAAAGGGGCCCAATCAAGATCAAGATAAAACGAGCTGAGCTGAGCCAGCAGTGACAGTCCGCTGAAATTACAGTTTCTGAAGTAGGGGTAGAGGTGAAAAAGACACTGATCTGCGAAGAGTGAGCCACGCACGCTTCAGTAGCTGAACTGACAGTCTTGGAGAAGAAGAAATCAGATGGCCGGTACCGGCACCAATTGGCTATGGTGCCGCATCCAAGAAGGAGTCACTGGACAGAGTCGGAACTTCGGCACACCGGTATGCCAACCCCCTCGTGGAACCGAATTGTCGGATACCGGCATAAGACAGTGAATGAAACGAAGGCTGGTCGCAGA